CTCCCACTGCTCCCCGGGCGCTGTGCAATAGCTGCTCCTACAAGTTAGGATGGGTTCAAAGAACACTTGTCACTGTGTTTCAAGATCAAGGCTGTTATTGTCATGTGAGCAGAGCTACAATGAAGATGTCAGGTCTCACCAGATCAAATAGTGCAAGTAAATACAAATAGAATATGATAGAAATAGTTTGAGAATAGTCTATATACAAGTCATTGGAATATTGATAACAGATGTTATGGGTGAATGTGTGTGCTGTGTCCTTTAAGGAGGGTTTCGTCCTCTCTCTCTCTCTCAGGACGGCGGTCTGATCGTGAACATCCTGAAGAGGACGGCCTCCTTCGAGGACCGTGCGGCCACGGCCGGGCCGCCGCTGGCTCAGAGCGTCCGGCTCAACGTGCCCAAGAAGACCAAGCTGTACGTGGACCAGACGCTGCGGGAGCGAGAGAGCGGCGCCGCCATGCACCGGGCCTTCCAGATGGACCTGAGCCGCCTGCGCCTGGCCGCCGCCAGCGCATACGTCAAGGTGGAGGACTGGTTTCTATTCATTTCATTGTTCACTTTTAGTTTGTCTGTTTGTCTTCTGTCTGTGGGATTGTGTTTGGTGTTCAGCAGTATTTACATTGTTACTCTACCTATTTTTCTATAAAGTGAAGATTTGTTTACCTTCTTTTGAGACATGCTCTGATAGAATAATTGTTGAAAAAACCCAATAAACTAAGTTTAAACAAAAACAAGGTAAATGGCCCAATATACGGGTTAAGCGTAGTATTCAGGGAGAAATACTTAAAAAGTGGATTTTGCATAATAGGTGACCTTTAATGTCTTTCATTTTTGTAAAGCACTTTGAATGGCCTTGTGTTGAATGGACTGTATGAATAAACTTGTCTCACCCTAAGGCTCTGGAGTCCAGCCTGACTCCGATGTCCTGCCGCCTCAGCGAGCCTCTGAAGATGAACGCCGTGGTGCAGGGCCTCGGTCCGGCCTTCAAACTCACGCTGAACGTCCAGAACACGGCGGCGTGTCGACCCGTCGCCAACCTGGCCGTCAGCTTCCTGTACGACGAGAGTCTGTACCGCATGCGGACGCCATACCTGAGGATCCCGCTGCTGGTGCCCGGCGTCGTTTACCCCGTGGAAACCTTCGTGGAGTGCAGCAGCGACAAGGGCATCTCTGACATCATCAAAGTGTTCGTGCTGCAGGAGGGCAGCAGCGCGCCCCTGCTCAGCGCGCACATCAACATGCCTGTGAGCGAGGGGCTGACTATCAACTGAAAACAAGAAGTTAATATCAACATGCCTGTGAGCGAGGGGCTGACTATCAACTGAAAACAAGAAGTTAATATTAACATGCCGGTTACTGCGGGGCTGACTATCAACTGAAAACAAGAAGTTAATATCAACATGCCGGTTACTGCGGTGCTGACTATCAACTGAAAACAAGAAGTTAATATCAACATGCCGGTAAGTGAGGGGCTGACTATCAACTGAAAACAAGAAGTTAATATCAACATGCCGGTTAGTGAGGGGCTGACTATCAACTGAAAACAAGAAGTTAATATCAACATGCCGGTTAGTGAGGGGCTGACTATCAACTGAAAACAAGAAGTTAATATCAACATGCCGGTTAGTGAGGGGCTGACTATCAACTGAAAACAAGAAGTTAATATCAACATGCCGGTTAGTGAGGGGCTGACTATCAACTGAAAACAGGACTCTTCAAACATCACAGGAAAAACAAGAACTGACCAAAGAGGAAGAACTTTATTTATAAATACTTTACATTTTAGGGGATCTTCAACAATATGTATAACAAGGGAAACAACAGAATTTCAGAGATTGAACAAATAAAGCTGTATTTTTAATTTTGAAAGAAAAATTCCTTACAATTCTGCTTTTTAATAATAATATTTTAATAATCACAGATCATTTTGTGGTAGATTTACCATTTTAATCAAGGAAAGTGAAGGTTTTACGAGGGTTTCGTTTGCATTACTAGGCCTTCGTAGATATTGCATCCACGTCTACAGGAATGATTTGTTCATTACAAAAAATATTTAAATATTGTACGATTAAATGTATTTATGTTCCGTAGATTCGTCCATATTTAAATTAGTTTTGTGTTCATTTTAATACAGATTTATTATAAACTGTTCGAGTTCTCAGTGTACAAAATCACTGCAGACGAAAAAATACCTTCTGGTTTTATTTATGAATGTTTATATAGAAATATTTCCCGAACAAATAAAAAGTAATTTTCTGTGTTTTTGTAGTCTTGTACAAAATAAAATAATAAATAAACAAGATTGTAAAGCAGTCTTAATTTTTGAAAGGTAACACATTTTAAAGAGGTTTATTCTGCTTTTTGTCTGAAACGCATTGGACTCCTTTGTTGACTTCTGGAACATAGTGACCTCACTAAGGAACACACGCTCCCATAGAGGTGCAGGGAGGACGTAGTTACCCTGAAGGAAGCTGCTGGTTCCCTCCCAGCCTACTTGAAACATTGTGAAAAAGGATTTAAACAATAGTACAAACTTTCGAAATAAAGTGTTTCCAGAGTGATGTAACAAGGTGAGGAAACAGCTTCTGTTTGCTGAGGGTAAACTCTGATGTTGGGAAATAACAGAAAGTACCTGATGTGGACATTCCCCCGGTGTGGAAAGAGAACGACGAGCTGTATAAAAGTCGAGAGAAGAAGAGGAAGAAGAACAGACTGTATCTGGATCAAACTCTGGATTCAAAGATGAGACGCGTCTTCATTTTATTGGGTGAGAAACTGAATAACCTTCCGATTCATTCTAAAAATATTTTATACAAAAAATACAACTTCTTTTTAACCGTTGAGATTGTTCAATAAAAAGTGAAACACAAAAAGTATTTAAAACATCAAAAAAGTACAAAGCTCAGAAATGGGTGTTCTGGTTTATGTACTTTATGGGGACCAACTTAAGGTCCCCACATGGTAGCTAGTAAAGGTTTATGGTTTAACGTAATCTGTGTGTGGAGGTTAAGAGAAGCCGTCAAACAGGTGAGACACAACGAGGACACAACACATCAACACATCTGCAACAGGTCATGTGATCATACAGTGTAATGTGTGTGTGTGTGTGTGTGTGTGTGTGTGTGTGTGTGTGTGTGTGTGTGTGTGTGTGTGTGTGTGTGTGTGTGTGTGTGTGTATTATCTGCCCCCTGCAGGAGCTGTATGGTACTGCAGTGGAAGAGGTTACAGGTGTTCTGCACTCGGCCCATCAGTGGGTCAACATGACGGACGTTACTGTCCAGATCAACGCCACACACACGGTCAGCAACTCACACATCATGGAGAACAGGTCTTAGCCACGTTAGCATGTGTAGCTCAAGCTTCTTCTAACTCAAGGGAGCTAAAAGAGCGGAAAAGCAGAAGTGGAAATTCAGAATTATCTGATATGTTTGTTTTTTATCGTTGGATTTCAGTGTATTATTATTTATGTATTTAATCACTATTTCTATTCTATTTTATTTGTATTTACTTGCACTATTTTAGCTGTTTTATTTGTTCTATGTCCATATGTTGCACTGTTGGAAGAGCCTGTGACCTACGTTGTTCATTGACACATCTACACTGTAGCTGATGTACAAAGGAAAATAAAGCCTTACATTTTGAATCTTCAGGCCAGTACATGTAAACCAGCTCTGGGTCACAGTTTTGCAGCGGGAACAACAGACGGAGGAGGAGACCTCAACTTTACTCAGGGTGATTATACAGTCTTTCTAACGTCATTATACTGAAGGTCATTAATCCCTCTAACCCGCCTCTCTCTCTTTAGGCGCTGTGGAGGGCGACCCGTTCTGGGACGGGATCAGAGATGCTCTGGTGGGTGAGCCGTCCAATCAGTCGCGGGCATGTCATCATCCCAAACCCATCCTTTTCAACACCGGGGAGGTGAGGCGCTTTCACACCGAGGGTTAAACAATTGTATTTGTTGTCTTTAATTGAATATGCCGATAAAATATGAGTTAAAACATCACAACAATTTTTGGAAATTTAAAAACATGAATTAATAATCTAAAATTATTCCAAAAAGGGTTCGAGTGAGTTATTTGAGTCAACACGGAAAAATCCCAACAAACTTTGGAAACTTTAAAATAAATATAAAAAATATAAAAATTATTTAAAACTTATTCGGGAAAAAGTAGAACATTTAAAAGAAATCTTCAAACATAAGAAAAAAATTGTGAAAACATAAATATACCTCCAAACTTTGGAAACGTACAAAAAAATACACATAATAAAATCTCTTCATATAACAAAAGTGTGTGTGTGTGTGTGTGTGTGTGTGTGTGTGTGTGTGTGTGTGTGTGTGTGTGTGTGTGTGTGTGTGTGTGTGTGTGTGTGTGTGTAGATGAACTGGCCTCTGCCCTGGCATCCTCAGATCGTTGACGTTCAGATCATCACCGTCGGCTCTGTAGCTGTGGTGGCCATTCCTGGAGAGATGACGTAAAAACACTTTAATAATAATAATATAAAAATCAAATACTTTAAAAAAAATTACTTCATCTTGTATTCATAATCTGAGTTGTAGTTGAGTATTCAACCACTGAGGAATTATACAGGTATATACATGGAGAGAGAATTGTAGGTTTTCCAAAATGAGTTTCATATGATATGATATAAATGGGGAACGTTAGATGTAAAAAAAAAAAAAGTTCTAGTGTCTTTTTAGGAGACTATTAACTTTAAATAAAAAAATACATGTGAAATATTCATTTACATTTTTCTTATTTATATTTTGTCCTTTTATATTTCAGCACCATACTGCCAAGGCACACNNAAAAAAAAAAAAAAAGTTCTAGTGTCTTTTTAGGAGACTATTAACTTTAAATAAAAAAATACATGTGAAATATTCATTTACATTTTTCTTATTTATATTTTGTCCTTTTATATTTCAGCACCATGTCGGGGAGGAGGTTAAGAGAAGCCGTCAAACAGGTGAGACACAACGAGGACACAACACATCAACACATCTGCAACAGGTCATGTGATCATACAGTGTG